GAATGAATATAAACTTAAATGCTGTTGTTGTTTTATTAGCAAACTAGTTTTTATCATATTATATTCCTTGCGTGATAGATTATTTGAAAAATATATCATTTGTTTCCTCTCTAAGACCTTTGGCTAACATTAACTCAAACTACTTTTATTTTGCCCTTGAGTCAGATTCACCTAAATAATATTTTCCTTGCTAACCTCAACAGCCTGACACAGTATATTACTTTTGAGTCACTGTCCTCCTTTTCATTTCTAATACTTTCATAGCCATATCTTTAAGAAAAGGCTTTTGTAAAGCCACGTTGAATACTGCTAGCTCTTTATTTTCTTTTCTTTGGAAACTGTAAAGTATTGTAGTTCAATCCTGGGATCTCACTCTCTGTTCCAGAGACTTGACTCTCATCTGTATTTGTTTTCTTTTTTTCCTTCTCTCAATTCTAGATTCTCTTTATTAAACACCATTGGTGTTTAGTCTAAATATCTGTGTGGTTAATTTTTTATAATTTAATTCTGTTACAAAGAGCCCTGGTGTTATCTCACTCTCTGTTCCAGAGACTTGACTCTCATCTGTATTTGTTTTCTTTTTTTCCTTCTCCCAATTCTAGATTCTCTTTATTAAACACCATTGGTGTTTAGTCTAAATATCCGTGTGGTTAATTTTTTATAATTTAATTCTGATACAAAGAGCCCTGGTGTTTTTTTTCTTTACTAAAATTGGCTATAAAGTCATTAGCACTAATGTCAAGCCAAATAATCTTGAGAAAGATGAATGGAAGAGAAATCAAAATGGATGGCTCCACTACCCCTAAGGACATTTTCCAGAAAACAAAAACATTACTGTTTATCAATGTTTTACCACTAGAATTAGATTTTTCTTAGTTCTAAAGAGTAATAGAAACTACATTTTTAAGAAAAAATACTTAAGCGAACATTCTCTAAAAATTAAATTATTCATCTCCTAGGAGATTACATTCTGACAAAGTACATGCAAGACAGATGACCATTGACATTTTATGTATAAACATAAATAGATTAACCCCCTTCTAACTTTAATGCTCATAGGTAAAGCGTTTATAGCTCACTTTTGGCTTAAATGGATGAGATGATGGGAGGGAATCTAATCTCTCAGAAATTTGAAAAAATAGTAGTAGTAGCAGTAGCAGCAGCAATGATAATGATAAAATAATAAAATAATAAAATAATAATAATGGTTAAGAGTCATTAAGTCCTTGCTACGTGCTTGGAACTAGCACTTCATACGCATTGCTTTTCTTAAACTTCAAAAAACCAAAGGATGTATGCTGTGTTCTTATGTACATATTATAGATGAGGAAACTGAAGTTTGGAGTGATTTTGTACATTCTTCAAGATCACACAGCCAATTAGTGGTGAGGCTGGAATTCTACCCAAATTCTCATGCTAGATAACAAACATTTAGTCAATCTTAGTCAACCTCTGTCCTCAGAAGCTGGGGGAAAAAAGTCAGTATCTTGAAAGGCAAAGGCAGAAAATACATAGACATAAAGTGAAAAGAATAATAAGATATTAATCTATACAAAGAATGCACAAGAACAGAAAAAATGTAGAGAAGTTGAAAGGTTGGTTATATTTTATTTTTTTTATAACCCCAGGTAATGATATTTATGAATAGCTTTTACCAGACTAGTGTGGCTATTAAAGATATAAAGCTGAATGACACAAGAGAGTCTTGATTAAATGGAACTCTTGAGTACCACTGGTCAACTAGGCTATCCGAGCCTTTCTACCAACATGAAGAATTTTGTTGATACTCCTCTCATGTACGTATTCTTTCTGTGGTCCACAGAAAACATTGGCTAAATTTGCACTTCATGAATTTCTAGTGTCTAAAGTCCCTAATTCCCACTCTTGCCGTAAGACACACTTTTCTCAACAGTGCCCCAATGTAATTTAGTTTCTATTCTGATCCTGTAGCCTAAAATAGATGACAAAGGAAGCATTATGGTAGCATATAGACAAATTCAATGCAAAAGGTGTAAAGAAGATGATGACAATGAGATCTTCATCAGAGCAAAAATATGAAGAAAAAATTAATAAAAGTGGATTTTTAGCAAAGAAAGATTAAACAAAACATCAAACAAAATAGAAAACCATTCTGAAAATAATAAAGAAGTTTTTAAAAATATCATATGACCAGGTCATGAGTTAAGCCTCAGCAGCAAAAGACATAGGGTTACTAGAAATAAAAGTCCCTGAGAATGGTATAATGACAGCGAAACAGAGAGAGACAGGACAATTGACCTGATCTTTCCTTTAAGGAAGATGAGTCTGCTGTAAATGACAAAGAGGTAATAGACACTCCCTGCAATGGAAAATCATGTTGTGCCAACCCAGTAAGACCACACAGAAGGCTTTAGCGCATTCCCAGAACTTGGGGAGAACATAAAAATAAGAGGAATAATAAAAATCTTATTCCTTCAAAATCTAAAATATATCCGCAGCCAGCATACTGTATAAATAGACTCTTCTTAATATTTATGAATAGAAATGCTATTAATTCTACAGTTTAAGCACAACATACAAATAAAGCCAATGTCTTCTTTTAGTCTGCAGTCTCCCTTAAGAAACACTGGGGACACCATTCATGCTGTGTAGGATTCTGGCAGAGGGAGAGATTGAGGGATTGTTGGGTAGGATGTGAGGTGGACAGGAAAAGAAATTGGCTAAAATGTTGATAAATAGGATCAGGGTCTGGAACAGAGATAAGAAAAAAATCTGTATTCATATTCTATTTACTAATTTGCTCTAAAAAAAGAGTACTTGTTTCTGCTTGAAGCTATTGGTAAATAGGACAAACGCAGTTTTTAGTAATTGGAATCTAGAAAGTGTGCTAGGCATATTTTTAGAATAAAGGTCTCTATTAAGTGGATATTATAATAATCCTTATACAAAGACACTTATTGGACAAGAAGATTAGAGAGGTAACTGATTCTTCTTCTTTTTCTTCTCCTCCTCCTCTTCTTCTTCACCAAATACTTAATTTTAAACTAACCTTTATTATCTCCTTTCTCTAACGATGAAACTTTTTAAAAATAAGGTTTAGGGAATATTTCAGAAAATGAAAGATGAATATTTACATAAAGTTACAATTCTGGGGTGCATTCTTTTTTATTATTATGACTTATGAATATTCATGAGATACAAAGCTGACTGTCACACCTCGTGCCCAAGATGTGAAGGCCAGATCCATACTGGCTGCATGCCCATTATTACAAATTGCGATTGTACCCTGTGTCCCCCACCCAATTGTCCCCAACCTCCCTCCCCCTCCCCCTTTCTCCCCCACTCTTTGGATACTTCTTCCTCTAATGCTAAACTGCCTATAGTGCAGGCATTGCCATAAACACAACTATTTGTCAGTTAGAAGAATAAGTTTATATCAAGGTTGTCTTCTTTTTCCCTATACCTAGACTAAGGATCTTAAACATTGTATAAATAGAAGAGATTTAATTAAAAACTTGAAGAAATGTGTTACTGTTAATTGAATTTTTGCTACAGTTACCTTTGCATACCAATGTTAATAAAACTCCAGTTCAAAGTGGATGAGTTTAGGGACTTGAGATAGCTATTTATTTCCTTACCTGAGATGCCAAGATAATCTCAGTGAAATAAAGAATCCAATTAGGAGAGTTCTCATTTGTAGCTATTGATCAAGTTTACACAAACTGCTAGGACTTCTAAGAAAAACAAATAAGAGGTTCAAAGGCCATTAAACAAGGTCAAGTGGGTGAGAAAGGGAAACACTTTGCATTTTGAAAACCTTTCACCTGTGGAGCAGATAATGGACTTGCTCTTCTGCGGAGCTGGGCTGCGCTCCCGTCCCCAGCCTGGCTGGCCGTCCCTTCCCCCACCCGCTGAACCTTCTGTTTGGTATCTCAGTATTACCAAGCTATAAATTGCCCGAGAGAGAGCTTATACAGACAATCAGGTCACCACCGCTCTCACAAGGGAAAAGCTTCTTACTTCCGAGCAGAACGGTTCAGCCGGGAAGAAGGGAAGGAGGGAGGGAAGCCACGCTGTAGTCGTCACTGCGCTAGCAAAGGGTGGAGAGAGATGGGGGAGGGGGCCGGCAAAAAAAGAGCATCTCCAACAACGTCGCACTTGACCCAAGTCTACAAAGTTATTGGTCCCTGCAGTGGAAACTCCCAGTGCAGTCCCCGCCGCCTGGCAGGCGCCGCTGCTGGGTGGAGTCGCGCTCCCCGGCCCCACCTATGGGACGGAGCTTCTCTGCGTCTCTGGTCCACCACACCCTTCACGACAAGTCTCCAGGCATCTCTCAGGGCTCAGATGATCCTCACCACCGCTTCCAACCTCGAACCCCGGCAGGACAAAATGATTAGCCTCCAGCAGCCCCGAGAGCCACCTCCCTGTGGCTCAGTCTGAGGACACGCGCGGAATCCTTGCATGTCCCCACCATGCCCTGGTTTCACAACTCCGCCGGGTCGAATAGCCAAAGACAAACTTCTGCCTCTCCTTTCCCCACTCCCATCTTTTCAAAAACCCACAGCCGGAGAACCCACACACATCGAAACTCCTAGGGCGCTGTTGCAATCTGGGCATGCTCAGTATCAGGGCAGGATTTGATTGAAAGTAAAAAAAAAAAAAAAAAGCTTTGTATTATACTGTCTCCTTCTCCTGTGCATTTATGGCTTGCTGAACAGGTTATGGGACATCCCTGAGCCTACCCAGAGGGCTTATCGGATGCCCTTGACTGTGTCTCCTTGGGATCTGCTCCCCTGTCAGTTCACCTCCTCCCCCAACCCACCTCTGCCCCCTCGTCAGGTCCCTGTCCGCTGTGGGGCTGGAGAGACACTAACACAACTGGGATGGGCGCTGCTGGCCGAGAGGACCCACCTCTTATTAGTGCGCCCGGATTGGCTCGTGGGCGCAGCGTACCCGCGCTGGAACCAATCAGGCTGCCGGGGCTGGGAGATGATGGGCGGCCGCCTCCTCACTGGAGGGATTCCTGGAGAAGCTGCAGTGTGGGGATGCTCGAGACCGGGTGCTGCCCCCAGTGTCTTTCCACCTCCTCCTTCTGCAGCGGCGGCGGCGGCGGCAGCAGTTAGCAGCGGCAACTTGAGACTGCACCCAGGGCAAGCCCCCAGGGTGCTGCTCAGCTGAGAAGGGGGCTCAGCGCCCCAAAGGGGTGTGTGTAGGGTGGGGGCGGCCAGCTGGGACCAGCCGGTGGCCCCGGAAAGCCTCCCACACACCCACACCCACACACCCCTTTTGTGTTGCAGGCTGCCCCCTTTCCAAGAGCGGAGGCAGCGGGAGTACGCGTGTGCCTCGCACCGGTCCGCGCGGGGAGAGCCGTGGGGACCGAGACCCGGCACCACCTCCTGATCCTCCCTCCAGGTAAGGCAGCGGGACTGGCGGAGCGGCCACCTCGGCCGTGCCTGTGGGCTTGAATCCGTCCGAAAGATTTTCTTCTCTGTACACTTGGGTTTGGGTGGTGGGAGACAGACCTAGGGAAGGATCCCCGGGTGGCCCATTGTGAGAAACAGGAGACCACATGTGCATCTCCTGGAAAAGCACTTTGCACAGCGCTCGTGATTCAGAGCCCGGAGTTGCTGTTGGGCATCCCCCATCTTCTTCCTTCCTCTTTCCTTCTCTCGTTCTCTCTCCTTCGTCCTCCACCCCCCAATCTCACCCTCTTCTCCTTCCTTCCCTCCCCCTTCACTTCCTCCCACCCTATGCACGCACAGGGTTTCTTTCTCCTCCTAGAGAGGATTGCCTTTCTTAGAGGAAAGAGGGGGGAGTGAAGAAAGGAGAAAGATCCCCTTCTGTCCAGGGGGGAAAAACAAGATAGAACACAACCTCTGCGAAAATTAGAGTACAGGAAGCGATTAAGCTCAACAAAGAATTAAACTGAATAAGCGGAGTAGACAAGCCATCCAGCTTCTGCTGTCAGAGAGAGGAAGCATCAAGTTTGACTCGATCTCCTCCTCGCAGGAGGCTGTGTCTCTCACTTGATTCGTTTAAATAGAACAAAAATAAAACGACAATCCAACCCACTTTCAACTGCTTAATTGCTGTTGTTTTTAAGTGCCAGCCATCTGACTTTTCCTGTTTCCATCTGTCCTGTGGGGCTGACAATTTGGTATTGCACGTATGAACTTTGAGGGGTATCTTGAGTAAAGAAAAAATATATGTATATATAGATTATTACTTTCCCGAGGTTCCTGGTATGGCCTTTATGTTAGAGGGAAAATGTAAAGTTTCTAAACATTTGTAAGTGACACCACTGTTATCAGGAGGCTTGGATTCAGAAAGCTAATCTTCTAGTTAGCTTTGTGTATGTGTTCACTTTCTCGACTATTAACCCTTTGGTGAAAAAAAGCATCTGTTTAACTTTTGTCTTAGAGCTACATGTATGTATTAATTTTCATTTTATTTTACCTTCCTACTATCTACTTACATTTCATTGCCTGAATATCAAATTCATGCCTTGCCTTATTTTCTTTTAATATGAGAGTATTTAGTGGATGCAAACATGATGTTTGCACAATTTCAACACTCCCTTTAGAAGGCACATGGAGCCCCCGTTGGCCAAGAAATCTCTTGTACAAAGTTTAGAAAGTAATGATAAGAAGATAGCCTCAAATTTTAAAAATCTAAAAGGGGAAAACATTTTTGTTCTAGCATCCTGTCAGAATAAAGAGAAAGATATCAAAACAACAACACACCCCTGGCTGTCTGCATAATAGGTCAAGTAAATGGTACTTGTTAGACGGGGCCTTGATAGCAGCTTCAGCAATCTCTAATTTCATCATCGGTGATGTAAGCTTTCTTTTCCTATTATTCATCAGAGATAGCTAAGTGGTTACTGTCATTTAGAAGGAGGTAAGAAGAAGTGTCCTGCTAGATATAAGGGAAAGCATTCCAAGTGGGTCCTACATGAGCACAGAGAAGCTAGCAGATGTTAGTATCCAGATAAAGCCTTTGCTTTGATTTGTCATGGGAAATGCCAAGTCTTGTAATTTTTTTCTAGATGTCCACTTGGAATAAGAAAAGGGAATCTTCTTTCTTGACTCTGCCTCAACTTCCACACTAATCTATGTACCCCAGAAAGTATTTTTTTCCACCACATGGCTTTAATGTATAAGTTTATACACCAACTTAGAGAAGAGCTGGTTTTATTTGTCATCAATGCAATGTATATTACTTTCAAAACCATTTTCCATTTGAGGCAATTATCTCTCCTACATAAGCAGAATTACTTCGTCTCAAAAAAAAAATTCTTTCTAGGGCTTTGACATTTAAATGACTTTTTAAAAAATGTAGTGTCTCTGTTGAAAGCTAACTCTAATTTTTAGAGGTGCCACCTTTTGGTTACAAGGACAAAAGGACAATAGCTTAATTACTTCGTGTGTATGTACAACTGAATTAACAAGTTTAGACATGAAAGATGTACAAAAAGGAAACCAACTGCTTCCATGGGAGCAAAATAAGATTTTGTTTGCTTGTTTCTCCACTGTCTTAGGAATATATTAAAGTTTGGGTTTGGTCTGCAACATTTATTTTCATGACTCTTTACAAATGTTAGTTATAGCAATAACATGTAAAAAGATGCATATAAGTATTTAGTTTTTCTAATAGTTCTGAGAAATTAACCTTTATCTATTGGAAGTCAGAGATTATTTCAATATATAGTGAGTGGATTCAGGGGAGGCTTTAACTGATATTATAGAAATGAATAGTCTATCATCCCACAATGTATTCTAGTGTCACCATTTCATACAATCTTCAGTTTTTACTCACTTTAAAAGGATATTTTAGTAAATCTTATTGATGTTTCAGAATAAAGACGACAATCCTTATGACATTGTTACCAAAAGTGAAGATTGATATTATACAAGAGGAATCATAAAATACAGATTTCATAAAAATACCACAGAATAGAAAGCTGTTGCTGAGTAGTTCGGAACTTTATTTTATAATGAAGAATATTAGTTATTCTGTCTGGTCAAATTATCAGATGGTTCTAATCAAGAAATATGAAAATGGATAACATGGTATTTACATTATAAGATTTGTATATTAGACTTGATGCTACCTGAAAATAAAACTAGAAAACAGTAGCATGTCTTAATTATATTTGCAAAATGATCTGAAAGATTAATAAATAAAATGCAGCCCGTTAGAAACCTGAAAGTTAATTTTAAACTTCCCGGTTGCCTGAGAACACCATGGCCATAATATCAATTCGTCTCTTTTGATATCAGTGTATTAAATCAATTTGGAGTGAATTCCCAAAGCAGGTTTTTACAGCAATCTAATCCTAGAGAACTCACACTTAACCCAGACAATTATATGAGCCTGAAATACTTATAGCTCTTGTGATTTCCAGTTTACGCAACAGCCAGGAAGGAATATCATTAATTCAAAATTGGAACACAATATTTATTTTCCTAGTGGTAATTATTGAATAACTTTGGGGGACAAAAGTGAAAATAAAACAGTTTGATTATATAAGGGAGCAAATTCTGGTCTAATATTACAGAAAACCCATACCAAAGTTAGACTTTCTGCCATAGGTTAATGTAGGTATGGATCTTGCAAGCATTTTGCTAAAATAATAATGCTTTTAAAATTAATTACCTGTTCTACTTGTGACTTTTTAAAATTTTTAAATGATTTTTTTGTCATAAGTATATCTGTACTCAAAGTTTAATATATGTGATACTTTCAAGCTGAATTTGTTTTCCATTGAAATTGGCCAAAGCTGTTTAAACAGGGATAAAGTATATGACAGGCTAAATATATAAATTCAGTTACGATTTAAGGGTGTGTGTGTGTGTGTGTGTGTGTGTGTATGTATGTGTGTATTCTAAAATTATGTAATTTTTTTCAAAAAGGATTAGAAATCAGTGGACAATAGGATATAATCTACTGAAACTAGGGGGTGCTCATGCAAAAAGTACCATTTAAAGAAGGATGACAATGTCTTGGGAATGCTTTTAATGGCTCTTTGGTTGAAAGGCTAGGAATACCTAAAGAGGATATTAATGGGGGGCTAGATCTTTTCTTTTACATAGCTCTTCTATGTCTTTGGGAAGAAGTGATTTTTAGATGTGTCACTGGTGAAAAAACTCTCAGTACAAGAAGATGCACCTCTATATACAGGTAACAAATAAGTTGAAATCTTATTTTTACATGATTTGGACATGAGGAGTGAGAGTTTCTGTCTTTCTAAGGCTTTTAGTAGGCATTTCTTTCAATGTTTACATTACGGTCAGCTTGTTCTTCGTTTTTCGCATAATTGAATGATATGATTATTATTGCTTTTTGGGATGGGTGATATGGATTGATATCTTTTCATTTAATTCCTCAAGAATGTTCCATATTTTTTCCTACTATTCTTATAAACTTGATTCAACCTCTTCATTAAGTGTGTCCATTTTCTTAAGCAGGTATTTAACCTTTCCAATACAAAGAAAATTGCATTTTTCTTTTAGTTTTCTGTCATTTTAAGAGAGTTCTTGAGGAGCTACTTTTATATTGACCATAAGATAAATTGTGGTAGCAGGATATATGAATATCACTCTACTCATATGTATTAGTGACAGAAAAATAAAATTATTTTAAATTATATTGCAAGTATATGCTCCCTATTACAGGAAACAGAGT